CATTTGGAAACTTGGGCACTGCCCGAGGGCCCGGGACTTCTTGAGTTCCACTGAGTGTCAAGAAGATGCCTCCAGTATGTTTATCTATACCTTAAGACATATAAAAGCTTGGCTATCTTCCTGACACTCATTGGAACTCAAGAAGTAGATTGGAGAAGCTACAGAAGCCACATTCAACTGGACCTGTTCTGTAATGTTGATGATGTTTGTCTCCGGGTTTATTCAGTTCCAATGAGTTCCAGGAAGACAGCCAAGCTTCTATATGTCTTAAGGTGTGGATATAAATATTGGGGTATCTTTACAACACTCATTGGAACTGAAAAAACCCGGAGAAACTACAAACATCTTCAACATTTCAGAACAAGTCCAGTTGAATGTGACTAACTACTACTAGATACACCATGAGATCCTTCACAAACATATTGGACTTCTTTTAAAATCTTGAAGACATTCTGTAGCTTCTACAATCTACTTCTTGAGTTCCATTGAGTGTCAAGAAGATACCCCATTATTTTTATCCACACCTTAAGACATATAAAAGCTTGGCTGTCTTCCTGACACTCATTGGAACTCAAGAAGAAGATTGGAGAAGCTACAGAAGTCACATTCAACTGGACTTGTTCTTTAATGTTGAAGATGTTTGTAGCTTCTCCTCGGGTTTATTGAGTTCCAATAAGTGTTGAGAAGATACCCCCAATATTTATGTCCACACCTTAAGACATATAGAAGCTTGGCTGTCTTCCTGAAACTCAGTGGAACTGAATAAACCCGGAGACAAAAATCTTCAACATTACAGAACAAGTCCAGTTGAATGTGACCAACCACTACTAGATAAAAGAGAACCTTCACAGACATACCCTTCCATTCTGGTCATTTGAAGACCCAATAAGCAAGCGATTATCAACCAAAAGACACGAGGAGCCGAACACTGCTGTGGGAGCCACGTACCAATGCCAACATAATAATAAAAAAATAATGTCTCTCTAATTGTCACCTTTCTCTAGAATTTCGAACATACAATGACATGACCATATGACTGCTGGGAGCCCACCTTTTTATAGAAAGAGGGACGGGTTATTCATTGTAGGGGTCTCTGACCAGGAAAAAGGCCATTATAGTGTTTTTATTTTTTCTGGTGGCAAACCTGCAAACTTTTCGGCCTATGGTTCCACAATTTGCAAAATTCTCAAGTCTTGAGGATTCGCTATAAATTGACGTCAGTGTTGAACCTAAACTTCGTACCCATTGATGATGCTCAAAGTCAAGTAAACCAAAAGCAAGTCTTTGGTGAATCCCGGCTTCTTTGTTGGAGTTAGTGGGTGGGACCATGCGAATCATTCCTTTCTGTCCCATCAGCCGGATTCACATCCAGAACCGCTGGTGCATTGTGAAAATTTACATTAATTTTATAGAGCGATTTATTTGGAACCGAATACATCTGTTTCATACTTTTTAGGCATCATCAGTGCAGCCTATGGAAGCCATGGCTTCCAAGGAGTTGGGTTTGGGATCCAACAAAGACATTATATCTACAAAGGTTTTGGTGAGAAGGGTCTGGAGGAATCAGGAATCCTCCTCTAATTTGTGGGATACGTGATGGAATGAAATGCGTGATACCTTCTGTTCTAGCCAATTGGCAACTTACATGGCAACCAATACAGTTCGCCCATCAAACAGAATATTCCCAAGGGTGGGGATCTCTCATGCCGGTGGGAACATGGCCTAAGCACTCCGAAACGCGTAACCACACCCCTCCGATGTGATATAATTTCCGCATTCCATGGTGGTTCTGGTGCTTTCTGGTCCAGCTTCTGAGTGGTTTTTCATACAGCTGACATTTACGGGGTGCACATACGCACCACAGCATGAGACGGGGGGGTCTCATGCTGTGGTGTGGATGTGCACCCCGTAGATGTCAGCTGTATGAAAAGCCCCCTTTGGGAATATTTTGTTTGGTGAGCACACTGTATTGGTTGCCATGTAAGTTGCCAATTGTCTTCTATTCAATAGAGCAAATGAATGCTGCACTTGGGTGGCGCCCCCTTTTTTTTTTTGCGTTCTTATTACAAAGATCTCCGTCTCCTGGTGAAGTAACCTCCTTTGCAGCAATTCCACTAAAATCGATGGACTTTCATGGATTAATTACAATCGATTTTTATTGTCTATTGACGTTTTTACTATCATTTTGAGGAATTTGGGGGGTTTACTGGTGTCCTGGTTTTCTCCATTTTCTGTTCTGTTTGTTTATCGCCTGTTCTAGCAAGATTTTACGGTGCAAAATCCACGGGAGGATTTTTTTGGTGCTCACCATAACCCGTATTGGTTGTACTGTCTCACAAAGAAAACTCAGCCAACCAAAGAGGAGTAGAAGACATTTAAAAAAAAAAAATAATAAAAAACAGCTCGGCGTTTAGACACAGAGGAATCGTGATGAGATCGCGCACATTTCCTGTCCAGCAAGCTGTGCGGGAAAATTGGCTGGCAGGGAGACTGTGTGGGCAGACCTATGAGTGTGAGAAGGGAGTGAGAACTGTTTGCTTTCTGTAGATTTCCCTGCAGTATAAGAGCAGATTTATATGTGGTGCAACGCCGCTATTAACCTGCCTGGCGCTTTGTATTTCAGAGCGCCGTACAGGCCGGGGCAAATCCAATTGTAATGGAATAGACATCGGATTTATTTTCTAGGGGAATGCTGAAATGTTTGGATGACGTTTGCGAAGGAAGCTTTGCCATCATCAATATTAAAAAAAAAAAAATATATATATATATATACAGTCATGGCCGAAAATTGTTGGCACCCTTGATATTTTTCCTGAAAATCAAGTATTTCACACAAAAAAGGTATTGCATTAACAATGTTTTGCTATACACATGTTTTATTCCCTTTGTATGTATGGAACAAATATAAAACAAAAAAAAGCAAATATGACATAATGTCACACAAAACCCCCAAAAATGGGCTGGACAAAAGTATTGGCACCCTTAACTTAATATTTGGTTGCACACCCTTTGGAAAACATAACTGAAATCAGTCGCTTCCTATAACCATCAATAAGCTTCTGACACTCTCACCCCGGAATTTTGGACCACTCTTCCTTTGCAAACAGCTCCAGGTCTCTCTTATTGGGAAGGACACCTTTTCCCAACAGCAATTTTTTAAGATCTCTCCCCACAGGTGTTCAATGGGATTTAGATCTGGGCTCATTGCTGGCCACTTCAGAACTCTCCAGCGCTTCTTTGCCATCCATTTCTGAGTGCTTTTTGACGTATGTTTGGGGTCATTGTCCTGCTGGAAGACCCAGGATCTTGGACGCAAACCCAGCTTTCTGACACTGGTCCCTACAGTGGCGCGACCCAAAATCCTTTGGTAATCCTCAGATTTCATGATGCCTTGCACACAGTCAAGGCACCCAGTGCCAGAGGCAGCAAAACAACCCCAAAACATCATTGAACCTCCACCATATTTTACCGTATTGGTACTGTGTTTTTGTTCTTTGTAGGCCTCATTCCGTTTTCGGTAAACAGTAGAAATGATGTGCTTTACCGAAAAGCCTCTATCTTGGTCTCAATCTGTCCACAAGACGTTATCCGAAGGCTTTTGCTTACTCAAGTATTTTGGCAAAATGTAGTCTTGCTTTTTTATGTCTCTGTGTCAGCAGTGGGGTCCTCCTGGGTCTCCTGCCATAGCGTTTCATTTCATTTAAATGTCGACAGATAGTTCGCGCTGACACTGATGCTCCCTGAGCCTGCAGGACAGCTTGAATGTCTTTGGAACATGTTTGGGGCTGCTTATCACCATCCGGACTATTCTGCGTTGCAATCTTTCATCATTTTCCTCATCCGTCCACGACCAGGGAGATTAGCTACAGTGCCATGGGTTGCAAACTTCTTGATAATGTTGCGCACTGTGGACAAAGGCAAATCTAGTTCTCTGGAGATGGACTTGTAACCTTGAGATTGTTGATATTTTGCCACAATTTTGGTTCTCAGGTCCTCAGACAGTTCTCGTCTCCTCTTTCTGTGTCCATGCTTAGTGTGGCACAGACAGACACACCAATGCAAAGGTTAAGTTAAGTGAACGTCTCTCCTTTTTATCTGCTTTCAGGTGTGATTTCTATATTGCCCACACCTGTTACTTGCCCCAGGTGAGTTTACAGGAGCATCACATGCTTGTAACATTCTTATTTATCCGCAGTTGTGAAAGGGTGCCAATACTTTTTGTCCAGCCCATTTTTGGAGGTTTTGTGTGACATTCTGTCGAATTTTGCTTTCTTTCCTCCCTTTTTTTGTTTTGTCCCAATACACACAAAGGGAAAAACATGTGTGTATAGCAAAACATGTGTTAATGCAATACGTTTCGTGAGAAATACATGATTTCCTGGAGAAATATCAAGGGTGCCAACAATTTCGGCCATGACTGTATATATATATATATAAAAAATTTTTATTTTTAATATTCAAATATATAACAAAAACCAAAAAAAACATTATTTGCAAACATTTTGTTTTCGTGAATATTGAGGTTGTCATTTACTTATCTCTAACGGGTAAACAATCTTATATCAATTAAAATAATAAAAATTAATTTGATATCTTATATTATATTGTGATACGAGGTAAATAATATATTATAATATCTATAATATACTTAATAATTATATTATACAGATATTATATTAAATGACGATATTTTAAAATATTTCCAAGGTTGCACCACTCAAGTATTTGTTGTCAAGAATTTAAAAAAATAATTACAAACATTTCTCCATAAATTGCAGCAGTGTCGGGCTAATGTGCCACAAACAGGAAGCAGAAGTAACGCCAACATCAAAAGAATGGAGACATTTTATGCTTCAGTGTTGCAACCTTGGAAATATATAATATATATGTACACTGCATTGCCAAACGTATTGTACCCCGCCCGCCCCCAAATGTGATTCAGGTGTTCCAAAAACCCTCTATATCATGTGATTTCAGGTGTTCTAATCCCTCCATATCATGTGATTCAGGTGTTCCAATCCCCTCCTAGTCATGTGATTCAGGTGTTCCAATCCCCTCCAAATCATGTGATTCAGGTGTTCCAATCCCCTCCATATCATGTGATTCAGGTGTTCCAATCCCCTCCCAACCATGTGATTCAGGTGTTCCAATCCCCTCCCAATCATGTGATTCAGGTGTTCCTATCCCCCTCCATATCATGTGATTCAGGTGTTCCAATCCCCCTCCCAATCATGTGATTCAGGTGTTCCAATCCCCTCCATATCATGTGATTCAGGTGTTCCAATCCCCTCCATATCATGTGATTCAGGTGTTCCAATCCCCTCCATGGACACAGGTGTATACAATCAAGCCCCTAGGCATGCAGACTGCTTCTACAGACATTGGTGAAAGAATGGGTCGCTCTCAGGAGCTCAGTGACTCCAAGCGTGGTCCCGTGATAGGTGGCCACCTGGGCAATAAGTCCATCCGTGACATTTCTTGGCTACTAAATATTCCACGCTCAACTGTTAGTGGGATTATAACAAAGTGGAAGCAACTGGGAACAACAGCCACTCAGCCACCAAGTGGTAGGCCACGTCACATGACAGGGCGGGGTCAGCGCATGCTGAAGCGCACAGTGCGCAGAAGTCACCAACTGTCTGCAGAGTCAATAGCTAAAGACCTCCAAACTTGGTGTGGCCTTCAGATGAGCCCAACAACAGTGTGTAGAGAGCTTCATGGAATGGGTTTCCATGGCCGAGCAGCTGCATCCAAGCCTTCCATCACCAAGTGCAATACAAAGCGTCGGATGCTGTGGTGTAAAGCACGCCGCCACTGGACTCTAGAGCAGGGGAGACGTGTTCTCTGGAGTGACCAATCACACTTCTCTGTCTGGCAATCTGATGGACGTGTCTGGGTTTGGCAGTGGCCAGGAGAACGGTACTTGCCTGACTGCATTGTGCCAAGTGTAAAGTTTGGTGGAGGGGGGATTATGGTGTGGGGTTGTTTTTCAGGGGTTGGGCTTGGCCCCCTAGTTCCAGTGAAGGGAACTCCTAAGGCGACATTTTGAACAATTTCATGCCCCCAACTTTGTGGGAAGAGTGTGGTGGATCCACGGGTTTGGGCTGGTGGTGTCATGGTGTGGTGGATCCTTCCTGCCTTGTATCAATGGTTCAGGCTGGTTAGTGGTGTCATGGTGTTGGGGATCCATCCTGCCTTGTATCAATGGTTCAGGCTGGTGGTAGTGGTGCCATGGTGTTGGGGATCCATCCTGCCTTGTATCAACAGTTCAGGCTGGTGGTGGTGGTGTCATGGTGTGGTGGATCCATCCTGCCTTGTATGGTTTCAGGCTGGTGGTGGTGGTGTCATGGTGTGGTGGATCCATCCTGCCTTGTATCCACGGTTCAGGCTGGTGGTGGTGTCATGGTGTGGTGGATCCATTCTGCCTTGTATCAATGGTTCAGGCTGGTGGTGGTGGTGTCATGGTGTGGTAGATCCATCCTGCCTTGTATCAATGGTTCATGTTGGTGGTGGTGTCATGATGTGGTAGATCCATCCTGCCTTGTATCAATGGTGTTGATGTTGGTGGTGGTGTCATGGTGTGGTGGATCCATCCTGCCTTGTATCCATGGTTCAGGCTGTGGTGGTGTCATGGTGTGGGGGAGCATTTCTTTGGCATTAGCAAGGTGGACCTAATAAAGTGGCCGGTGAGTGTATATTGTAAATCAATATATATACAGAACATTACATTTCAGCATTTCTGGCACTTTGGGACACAACCTGCCTATTGCTGGAACTTCCTTTTATCTCTGAGCATGTAGCGGGGTGACCTTCATTTTCGAACAGCACAAATGCAAATCCCCGGCCCCTCTCCTGCACACCGTCAGCACCCGGCGCTGTGTAAAATGTAATTGTTGGTGTCACTGCTTGTAGAAACGATCGGTATCAAAGGCTCCGAGCTGCCAGGGATGACACCAACACTGCCTGCCATTGTATTATTCATGCAGCTCACAGGAAGAAGAGCTTTGAGTCACCGAATCTAACGGCACATTAATATGAAGAAAAAATAAATAAAAAAATCAGTCAGCTTCAAATTAAAAGTAAAATTGTGTTAACGAGAAATCCATCGTCCGCTAAGTCGTGAAAAATGGATCTGGCATCTGGAAGAGGCCGAGTGTATCAGACGGCTGGTGCAGCCAATAATTATAACCTCTCCTTCCATCTCAAGGGGAATCTTTGCATTCCTCGGTAGGGATGAATAAACTGCGCTTTCATTTTCCAGAAATTCCAAGGAAAAATCGGGAGATTTCGGCAAAATGTGGCCATTTGGGGCAAAATTGTTATCGAATCAAAGAAGGCGGAACTGGACTCTGGGAGGTGGGTGAGCAAACAGCCATCAAAGAACTAGTCACCGGTAGTAATGCCTATGGTCTGCCTGCAGCTGGGCTTTCCCTCATTATTGACTGCCTCGTTCCGCACTGTGCGTCTGTATAGGAGGGAGGGGCATCTTGGATGAGGAGCAGGGATTTGCTTCCTCATATCCAAGCTACCCCCTGAAAACGGAGGGGTAGTATTGAAGAAGCAACAAGAAAGAAGACGAGATCCACACAATGGATGAAGCAGAAGTGGGGAGAGCTTGCACTGCAGATCCTCAGGTACAGCTTCCCTTCCAGCATGGAGGAGCAGAGCAAGCCCAGATTCACAAAATAGAAGAGAACAGGGGGATCCTTGTGATGTAGATCCTCAGGTACAGCTTCCCTTCAAGCAAGGAGGAGTGGAACAAGTCCAGATTCACAAAATGGACGAAGCAGGGAGATCCTTGCAATGTAGGTCCTCAGGTACAGCTTCCCTTCCAGTAAGGAGAAGTGGAGCAAGCCTAGATTCACAAAATGGACGAAGCAGGGAGATCCTTGTGATTTAGGTCCTCAGGTACAGATTCCCCTCCAGTAAGGAGAAGTGGAGCAAGCCTAGATTCACAAAATGGAAGAAGCAGAAAGATCCTTTTAATGTAGGTCCTCAGGCACAGCTTACCCTCCAGCAAGGAGGAGTGGAACACGTCCAGTTTCATAAAATGGGAAAGCAGGGAGATCCTTACAATGTGGGTCTTCAGGTACAGCTTCCCTTCCAGCAAGGATAAGTGGAGCAAGCCCAGATTCACAAAATGGAAGAAGCAGGGAGATCCTTGCAATGTAGGCCCTCAGGTACAGCTTCCCCTCCAGCAAGGAGGAGTGGAGCAAGCCTAGATTCACAAAATGGAAGAAGCAGGGATATCCATGCAATTTAGGTCCTCAGGTACAAATTCTCCTCCAGTAAGGAGAGGTAGAGAAAGCCCAGATTCACAAAAGGGAAGAAGCAGGGAGATCCTTGCAACGTAGCACCTCAGGTACAGCTTCCCCTACAGCAAGGAGGGGTGAAGGAAGCACATATCGACAAAAAGGAAGAAACATTGAGATCCTTGCACAGCAGGTCCTCAGGTACAGCTTCCCCCTCCAGCAAGGAGGAGTGAAGGAAGCACATATTGACAAAATAGAAGAAGCAGGGAGATCCTTGCACAGCAGGTTCTCAAATACAGCTTCCCCTTCAGCAAGAACAGTGATCAGCACAGTAGTAGTGTCACAAAGTCTCAATCCAAATCTTGTAAGACTGGTAGTCAGATGCAGCAGTGCTTTAAATCAGGGATCTCCAAGCTTTTTAGAGCCACATCATTCTGCAGTGTGTCTCTGGGTAGAAAGAGGCATCTTGGTAGAGGAGCAGAGAGTTGCTTCCTCATTTCCAAGTTGCCCCCCTGATGAATGGTGTCTGGTGGGGTAATGATAGAAGTGGATTAAGCACAGATCACAGAATGGATGAAGCATGAGCAGGGATCCTTGCAGTTCCTCCGGTACAGCTTCCCTCCAGCAAGGAGAACAGTGATTAGCCCAGTAGTGACACAACCAAATCTCACTCCAAATCTGGTGAGACCAGCAGACAATGCAGCAGTGCTTTAAATCAGAGGTCTTCAAGCTTCTCATTATAAGGGCCCATCATTCTGCAGTGTGTCTCTGGGTTGAAAGAGGCATCTTGGTAGAGGTGCATCTTTCAGGGATTTGCTTCCTTATGTACAAGCTGCCCCCCTGATGAATGGTGGCTGGTGGGGTAATGATAGAGGTGGAAGAAGCATAATCAATAGAATGAATGAAGCATGAGCAGGGAGATCCTTGCACTGCAGGTCCTCAGGAACAGCTTCCACTTCCAGCAAGGAGAGCAGTGATCAGCACAGTAGTGACACAATCAAGTTTCAAAAATCTGGTGAGATCCTTGGATCGATGACCAGCAGGTTTTAATTAGGGGTCTCCAAGCTTTCCAGAATGAGGAGAACAGTGATTCAGCACTGTGTCTTTGGGTACAGGAGACATCTTGGGAACTTTCTTCCTCATGTCCAAGCTGCCCCCCTGATTGAAAGGTCTGGTGGGGTAAATGATGAGGTATGAGGAAGCACAGATCACAGAATAATGAAGCTTGAGTAGGAGATCCCTGTCCAAAAGTAAAGGTCTTCAAGTGCAACTTCCACTCCATCAAGGAAGGGTGGAGGAAGCACAGTTCTGCACAATAAAGACCCCAGCAGGGAGATCCTTGTACCTTCAGGTCCCAGCTTCCCCCTTTCAGCAAGTCCAGTAACAGTGATCCATCATAGTGACATCACCAAATCTCACTCCAATTAATATGTTTTAACTGGATCTTTTTTTAAAATCAGCATGATATGATTCAGAACAGCAGAAAAAAGAACTTCAGTAAAGCAAACCCCAAACATCAAAACCCCATCAGAGTCCTCCTCACATCAGGGTCCCAATCAGAGTCCATCCCTCACATCAGGGTCCCAATCAGAGTCCCCCCTTACATCAGGGTCCCCGTAAGAGTTTCCTCTTACATCAGGGTCCCCGTAAGAGTTTTTCCTCTTACATCAGGGTCCCCAATCAGAGTCCCCCCTTACATCAGGGTCCCAATCAGAGTCCTCCCTCACATCAGGGTCCCAATCACAGTCCACCCTTACATCAGGGTCCCCGTAAGAGTTTCCTCTTACATCAGGGTTCCCATCAAAGTCTCTCCTTACCTCAGGGTCTCCATCAAAACACCCCCTTATATCAAAGTCCCCATCAGAGTCCCCATCAGAGTCCCTGGCTAATAAGATGCTTCTTGGCCTGCAGGACCTTTCCTCCTTCTCTGAGCTTCGCTCTGCTCTTCCTTCCCCCTTCTTACTGCTCTTTTCTCCCTCTGGATTCTACCCTCCACCCCCCCCCCCCCCCCCCCATAACTCGCACTCAGTTGGAGACTTCCCTATCCGATCTTATCTTTGTGGTTCAGGGGGCGGACTGATCATTTAGGCACTCGAG